TGAGTAACCAAGGCCTTACTACAGAAGGCCTGAGATATGAAATGTGCCCAGCGCTACCTATATTCGGCTCTCCAATACTATGTACTGTCTTGATCACCACAGACTGTTATCGCTTGTGCACACATATACACACACTCATCTCTACACGCACACCCATCCAAAGCACCCACACACCTGCGAAATGGAACGTGTTCAGAGTCATCTGTGTGGCCGGCTCTCCAATACTCTGAGCAGCCAAGGCCCCTACCATCTCGCCTGGATTCACATAGGCAGCCAGGAAACGTGCTTCGATTTCTCCCAGCAACCAACTGAAAGCCTCGGAGGTCATGTGGTGGCGCTCTAGAAGCGTACGTGAGCACAGAGTGGAACGCAGCAGAATCTTGAACAGCATGGTGGCCGATTCGGACGTCTGTCGACTGATATCGTCTTCACCTATCAGACCAGAAACGCGGACGAGAGAACAAGAGATGTTGAGACACGGTGCCAGGACAAGCGGTGCTACAAAATGTGGAAACTGGTGTTTATGCTGTTAGAAGTATATTCCCCAGAGTCCATGTCGACAATATAGCAGGCTGAACAGATTCAACCTTAATATGTATATGCATACCTTTAATCATCTGCAGACGATCACTGAGGTTCTTCACACCCTGGACAATCAAGCACGGATGCAGATCCGACAGGTTGTGGTCTTTAATCCGGAAAATCTAGACCGAGAGATGGGAATGTGCTTGTTAGATGGAGCTAGTAACAAGACTTAAAATACGGAAAGTGGCCGACAGCACTCTAACGCCTCCAATATGCATAGCAACAAGGCGAATTCTCTCAGTACTTTAGGCGTTAAAAAAAATAGTACCTAAAGAAGACGAAACACACCTGTTTGGCATTCCAGATCAAGCGGTTGAGATTGACAGGCATGGGCGTGTTATCCGTCCCGTCCGAGAAAATCACACGCAAATCTTCACGATCGTTCTGCAGTTGAGTCCATTCGCCCATCAGAATCTCTTGCGCGCCCTGGTCTCTTAGTAGCTCCTCGACGATGTCGGTGTTGAGAACCTTGTGTGTGCGCGGATGTGTGCGGGTGTGTATGAGTGCAAGTGTGTCCTGGAATGGAATAATCTTTCACAGCGACGTATGGATCAATGTACACGCAAATAAAGATTTAATTGTTTGGCGTATAAATAAATTGGACGAGGTGTTATATACTACCATCGAGTGAGAAGTGGGTGATTGCATTTTCAGTGAACGATCAATATTTCTTACGCACATCCGTGGAGATACTTCCAATGTATCTATAAATGTGAATCTAAAAGATCCGACTGCCGCACAGTGGCGACGCGTAAACTGAATATTCGCAAAATTAAGCCAAACGCACACCGATGATTGAAAAAGTGGCATGTGCGTGCACACACCCAAAGGACTCTCATCCCAAAGGACCAGTCCCATAGACCTGATCTTGTAACCGTGTGCTCAAACTATAACAAGCTGCGCTGTGACACTTCTGCAGCAGCCAAACGCAGATATTTGCTATCATATACGTATAACTATCAACTGGTGCCTATTATCATATAAGTACAGCTATCATCTTGTGCCTACTTTCATATACGTACAGCTATCATCTGGTACCTACTTTCATATACGTACAGCTATCATATGGTGCCTACTTTCATATACGTACAGCTATCATCTGGTGCCTACTTTCATATACGTACAGCTATCATCTGGTGCCTACTTCATATACGTACAGCTATCATCTGGTGCCTACTCTCATATACGTACAGCTATCATCTTGTGCCTACTTTTCCTGACTGTTGCTGTGAATACACAATACCTTGCGCAGCTTATTGATCTGAGGTACAGACAGTTTGTAGTTGTTCTCAAAGGCCTGATTCGAAGGCTTCAGAATCGGCAGATTCTGACTCTCCATGGCCGTCCCGTCCAGACCATCTTCTCCGTACACAAACTAAAAGTAAATACAGAGAAATTTTGATTTGTACGTATGATGTAAATAGTGTCTGGATATTAATGCTATGCTATCCTCCACAATTGAGTAGTGCCATGCCGCAACTTCCCTCGCGATATTTTGATTCAAATCAAGATAAGCATCCTTAATGACATCTTGTGGTGTGACATATCCATGGCAGTCGCACTGATTACTAAGCACGCGCCTTTATATATGTATATATATACATGTATTTGTATATGTATATATAAATA